TAACAGGTATGGCTGCATATTTTCAATAAAACTGTAGGATTGTAACCTTTCTATTGGCAATTTCAGAAATTTGAGATTTGAACGTAGAATAATAAATCCATCAAAACTAAAGATAAAATAATCTATGCTTAGTTGTAGAATACTGAACGCTTCTAGATTGATTGCAGCACGATGTATTTTGTCATACCAATATCTACTATTTTAGTTTTCATATCCTCTCACACGCAGGTATCTATCAACTTATAAGCACAACAGCAGGGTCACTAGATAAATCCACCATGTCATATCGAATAATAAACACTTAAGGCGACACAGAATTTAAGCTTTTTTTAGCTTCCAAAGTAGTGAACCGTTGTGTTAAAAATGGGAATTGCACTGCTAAAATGCGTGTAAAATAGACATTGCGATGGAAACATAAAATACTGAAACTTGAAATATTGATCATATAATTTTCTCACTACAATGCATTATTGATGCAATAAATAGTTTTTGGCTCGTAATTCTTGAAGAATTAACGAAATCTCAATAAACGTTTTAAAAGTCGATGTGTTCTTCTCAAGTACAAAGGGAACTTATTATACAAGTGATTCCTATAGTGTAAACCAATCTACCCTCCGTCATATAATAATGAACCCTCACAGGTATTATGATAAACACTTCTACTGAAATGGAGAATAATCAACCATTGATCGTACAATAATAAACCCTTTTGATGACCTCGTATACTGGTATACCCTCAACGATATTATAATAAACTCTTTTTCAGAAAGTGAAGAATAATTCACGGTTGGTTGTAGAATAATCAACCCTTTTGATGACATCGCCTACGGGTCTGCCATCAACGGTATTATAGTAAACGCTTATTCTGAAAGTGGAGAATAATCAACCCCTAGCTGTAGAATAAGATTTGTTTTGCATGAATCGTATAATAATCTACCCCTGATTGTTGTATAATAAACTGATTTTGGAAATACATATATTAATCTACACCTATCCGTTAATTAATAAACACTTTGAATAAAATTATGAAATACAAAACCCTTAAAACAGTTTCATATACCCTTGTTTAATTCATATACCCTTACGATAACAAACCCTTCGGCTCATATACCCTTCATAGGGTATATGACATGCGCATAAACCCTTCTAGGGTTTATAGAAAAAAATCAAGGGCAAGCGTTCATTATTCTGCCCTTTCTTTTTAACAGTGTACATACTCAACAAATATCAGTTCCAACGATTGAGTTCTTGGTACTGCATGGATCACACGAATGGAGGGAAAATAGCTTTTTACTGAATCTTTGGCAGTTCATACCTTCTGGTTGGAAAATTCTACAGCCGTTAAATTTGTTTATGAAAAACGTCTTCAAGAGAAATTGCTATATTGCTAGGTTCAGCATATTTAAGCAAAGTTTTCAGTCTCGGCACTTTGGACAAAAGCCAATCTTTTCCCTGAAACTGGATGCGAGCAAAGGCATATATGCTATACTTGAATCTTGAATTCGAGTATTCTACTATGCTTCAACTTTTCAACTATTCAACTATTCAATTATTGAACTATTGTAGTATTAAAAAAAGTTGTAATATAGTCATACCCAGGAAATAATAATTACGAACCAAATATCAACCCTATTCTTACATGTGTGACAATTCACCACCAAAACTCATGTCAGAGGCATTCATCAGAATGCTACTAACTACATGAAGTGTGATTATACGAAATGCTCGATGCATTATGTGTAGAAGTGCAAAGGAGGCATTTCGAGTGTGGGTTCGGAGAACGGCGGATGCGTTCGTAATACATGCACAAGTTAATAGCTCGATAGTTGATAACGTGAATACTGGAAAATTCAACCTTTGAATAATTGAATACTTTAATTCTTCAAATATAGTTGAATACTTGAATCGAGTTTCAATTATGGTGCTGCTGGGGAATTGAGGTCGCACTGGTGTGCGCACATGGATTGCATCTCAAATTTGGGTGCGGGGAACGCTGGAAACTTTGGGGTGGACACATTTCTCCACAGCTATTGAGGATTCAAGTTCGCATTCGTTGTAGGAAAAAATGTATGGTTCGAATAAAAAAAATTTTGACTGAAGAATGTTAAAGATGTGATGTGTCGGAAACGGCAAGTACATAAAATTTTTGAGTTTATGCATGTGAGGGCTTTTAAGGATAGGAATTATTTATGCGAAAACAATGTGTAGCCCTTATGTTCAAATCAATACTGTGGTCAATATCGCAGATACCATACATTTGATAGGTTAGGACACTAAGCTAGGATATTCAGAGATATGAGTTGCCAAAGGTTAGCAAAAAATTGGTTTTCGTCTCCGTTGGTGCAATCCATAGAGTGGCAAAAATTCAATTGTTGAAACTGAAATTTGTTGAGTGTAGACCTTACTGTTATATAAATTCATTGAAAATTTCAGTTTCATTGAATGAACGGTTCTTGACATATACCGTACCCAAAATCGCATTTGACAAAAGTTGAAAGTTGAATCTTGAAACTTGAAACTTGAAGAGAAAGTTTTCAATTGAATTCAAGTTTCAACTATGACACTTGTTCAGTCCTAATATGACGTTGATATGTGTTGGTACAATTTTCCCTAACTTCTGTTTTTAAATTTCCAATCTTCGGAAATCACACACACACACTCTCTTTTTCATTTCACTTATCTCTCTCGTTGTTCCTGACTAAACTGCGCAAAAAGAGAAGAAAACAAAGATTATAAAGACATGATCTATTCACATTCTGCTTAGCTTTTTCAGATGAGAAAAAGAAATTGAGAGAAGAGAGAAAACGAACAAGAGTTATTCGGCCAAAACAAAAGAACGAAAGTATAGACGAGAAAAGACAAAGAATAAACTAAAGAACATGTAACAGAACGAAAGAAAATATAATAACAAAAACACAACACAACATGTTTTATGGCATATCATTTATACCATAACAACACTACTGCATTCTTACTTCCTACGATTTTATTTAAGGAGAGTGATGCTCGACTTATTTATAGATTTCTTTGGTTCCGTAAAAAGAATTTTCTCTGGTATTCAAAAACGAATGAAATTCTTATCGATCATGGAATGAGACATCAGTTTAGTATTGAGCACCATGCGAGTTCAAACTTTCGAATCTGATTCAGACCCGATATATTTTTTTGTATCCGAATATGAACCTGACCCATGGACAAGTTTGAATTGCAGTGACTCTATCACTATGATTGTATTTTTATGGATGTGATTTTTTGCTTCTATTTCTTTTATCCTGAAAATCAAAACAATACAAAAAGAAAGAAAACTTAAAAGAGCTCTCGAATACATGCAAGAATAGCATAGTTTTGAATCTTTTAGGCAGTGATTGGACCAGTACAAGTAATTACATGAAGCACAGGTACAAATACTCTGTACTTCACAATTTTAATTTGTACTGTACTTAAGTACATTTTACTTAAGTCCTTTTGTACTTAGTACATGCACTTGAGTACAAATGTACTTAGTACAATGTACTTAAGTACAAAGTACTATTTCACGTTAGACTTTGATTCATAATTTTTCTGAGCGTCAATCTGTTTCGTCGTCTAATGGCATCTATCACTGGGACCAACAATCGAACCCAGTATCCATATTGCCATATTTTCATATCTACTGATATTAAAATTGGCTCTTCTTACACTTAAATCGATTGACATGGCACTGTTTTTATCTGATTGAAATCTGTTTTTTTGGGTTTCAATTTTGTATTTCCGCTGATTTAAAGATTTTTTGAATTTTTCTAGTCAATTACTGAAATTCAATCACTTTTAATCCATCAATAAAATTCATTCAGTAGACGAATTAGAAAACCATCGTCAAATCAGCAAAAATCAAAAATACAAGACTAAAAACCAGATTTGAATCAAATTTAATTATTGGCGTTTAAATCGATATTCATCTGATTTTAAAATATTTTTTCATGGAATGTGGCCAAATACTCAATCCATAGAATTTAGATATTAGTTGTCAGCTTTAAAGAATATTTGAAAAAGCTGCAATTATTCCGTTATTTACGATTTTAAAGCCGTTTTGGAATCATTAAAGTACATTCAATAGATAGAAAACATTTAGAACCCAATGCAAAGAAGAAAAAATAGAAAATAGGATACCTAAAAGGATTGCTTTAAGAGTGCCAGTATTGTACTGAGTACATTGTACTGAGTACCGGTACTAAGTACAAATGTACTTAAGTACAAGTACAAAGTACAATTTTGAAGTAAAAAGTACATGTACTTGTACTGCAAAAAAATGTACTGGTACTTACGATTTTACGTACTGAGTACGAAAAAGTACCAAGTATTGTACTAAGTATCCAATGTCTGCTCTTAGGAAGCATGAATGAAAAGCTTGTTAGCGCAACTCCATTGGGGCTAAAATGTGGAACTCACATATATCCCTTAGGGTTATTAAAATAGTTCAAAATAGTCCATCTGAAAAATCTACCTTGATTTCCAAAACCTATCATTAGGTCATTGCCTATTTGCTTATGTCTGCAATGGAATATTAATTGTTAGCTCGTATATTTAACAATAGCAGAGACTAGTTTCTATGCTCTGTAATGGGCAAGCATTGCTTTTTTCGTGTCGTCTGTAATTAAAAAAGGAAGAAATAGTAGCCTAATTAGTCAAGCTTTTAATTAGCCCAATTTTACGCTCATTAATGTCTGTAATGGGGAAGAGGGGGTGGGGAGTCGCAAAAATCTCGCTTTGAAACTTACACTCACCATTTTCTTCGAAAATATATGTGACTTCCACAAAAACAAATTGTTATTTTGTACTTAATTTGGCGAATTCGCTGTATCGTTTCATTCGTCGCATTACATTTTCTTCCATTCTCTACGTTAGCGAAGAATTGCACAATCATTGCGAAGGTTGATGATTGATTGTCGTTAAATTCATCAGCATAAAGAAAAAACATTTCATTCTTATTAAAGCACACTATTAAAAAACATCAAACAATAATGGCAAAGCATGTTCCGGCATGTTTTCTGACATTACCTGTCGAGATTGCCTATCGCATTCTGGACAATCTTGATGAATTAACATTATTATGTTCAACCCGTAACGTTTGCCAGCGATTGAATATGATCACTGAGACATATCATCGATACCAGGTAAAATCTCCTTTTATCATACGATAAGATGCATACTCATGTCGCTGGTTTTTCATCAAACCAGACAGCTCGCACAGTTTCATCCTGAAGTTCTCAAATTTTTAAATTTTTAAATTTCATTAATAAATTACCATTTCGTGTTGAAAAAAAATCGGTTGCAGCTGAAAAACTTAAATATTGTTAAGCTATAGTAAATTTTATTAGATAACACTAGTAATTTTTCTATTGATTGACTCATGCAAGAAATACCTATTTATTAAGGCGTCGACTTTAGTAAAAAGAAACCAACTCGAAAGCTAAGCAAATTTGGTAAATGCGGCTGACACTAGTGGCTTCAGCGCGCTTACAATTAACAGGATGGGCGATTTGGACTAGCATCGATGAATTTTTATAACACGTACAAAATTTTCATTCCTTATTGTTATGATTCGTTTTGATCTTATGAATCATACGAGATAATGCAGCGAGTTGGAAAGACCACAGAACGAAGAAAAAGATA